CATCTATATAATAAAAATAAAACGCACCATAAACTTGAAATTATAATCTCAACTAAATGATTTCTCAGCAGTTTCAGCGCTCACCCACTTCTACTAATCCTCCACATGTCCACATATTAGTTCCTAGATGGTTAGTTCTTTTCATGTTCTTCCTTTCTACCCGCTACCCGCTCAGCCTCCCAGCTCACTTATTTCGTTTGTCGCGTCTGAACTCGGAAGATTTGAACTGAACCGCTCCTGACCGATGAACAAACGAAACGCGAAGCTTCGACTCCAAGAAATAAACGGCTCAGCAGAGCGAGTGAACGGTTTAAGCCAGCTCTGACGAACTAGTTCATTTAGTTCAGGGTTTGGAGCCGGATCTTTGAACTAGTTCGCTCATGAACTACACAAGCCTAGTGCACACCCCTTAAGTATGACATTAGTATGTTAAAATTCATTGGAGCGAGGAGGATTAATTCGCGTAAATAAGAATCACTCCACCCCGCTGCAATGCTCCAGACCATCCACTTTTCCCTTTATAGCGCTCTGATGCGCTATAGAGGCTCTCTTATCAGCAAAGTGCTTCTCATGTGAGAGTCCTAGCTACAAGGCCTCCCACGAAAAATCTTACCCCGAACAATGGAGGCTAGCGTAAAGCGCTCTATTTCCGCGATCTCTAATGACTTCTCATCGATCTATATTGCTTTTTCGGGCCCTGAGTCCTCGCTCTGTCCTCAGTTCGGTGACTCGGTGCTCGAGGATGTGGACTCCTCTTGCCTGTTTTTGGGTTTTGTTTGGTTTTTGTCTTCTTTTGTTTTTGAGCAGTGAAAAATAATTTTAACAAGTTGTGGTCTGAATTAAAAACCATAATTATCATAACAAACTGAAGACAATCCAAAAACAAAAACCAACAGGCAAAAAACCTGTTCTTAGATTCATTACCATGAGATTTCTGTTACTTAACAATGGGTAATGAATCCGGTTGAGGTATCAATAGCGACTTTACCATTTCCAATATCTAAAACTGCTTCGAAAACGCAATTACACAGTTAATTGGTAAATCATTATTAAATAAGGATCAGTCTGAAAATAGAATCATGCCTCCACCAAAAATGTTTTGATTGTCACGAACATCTTTTAAAGCTCTGTCCAGTCCCTTGTGGGTGAATGTTCATTCATCCCAAACGATTAATTTGCATTTATTTAAAGTCTTCGCCATTGCTCTAATTTTAGAGATTTTGCAATCTGGTGTTTCATTAATTCGTATGTTTAACGGTAATTTTAAGACAAAATTTGTAATTCGCTCGTCTTCCAATAAAGTTGTAGATATCCCAGATAAAGACGCTAGGGCTACCGTGATCTGATCCTTGCCAATAGCGGTAAAATTAGTAATGCTTTTTCTGTTCATCTCCAGCATCAAGGAAGTAAATTCCACCATACCCATTATTTACAGCTTCTGTCAAAGTATCATAGGAAATCCTTTGTTGTTGATGCAATTGTAGAACATTTGTATGAACTATTTCTACAAATACTTCAGTGTTGAACTGTTGTTTTTTTTGTATTTGTTGTTCTTTATTATTAAGTCACAACGGAATAAACAAAACATACAACAAATTTGATAAAATATCTATATAAATATAAGTGAAATAAAACGGTCTCTTTTTCTATACTTAATTTGATAGGTTATGTCAAAATAAGGGATCTTTAAATAAAATTTCTCTGGTCTCTATTTAATTTAAATATTCTTCTTGTGACGCCGTCTCCTTTCGAAGGTTGGCGATCCAAATGACAATTTGTGGTTTTGGAAACTACTGCGCGAAAGATTTCTGCGGATGAGAGGTCGAACCATCTCCTCAGGTTTTTCAGCCATGAGTTCTGGCGTCTTCCTACTGATCTTTTACCCTGTACTTCTCCTTCCAGTATAACTTAAAGTAATTCATATTTTTCGCCTCTCAACACATGACCCAAGTATTGCATTTTCCTCTCTTTGATTATTCTTAGTAATTCTTTTTGTTTACACATTCGACGAAGTACCTCAACATTAGTAACTCTTTGTACCCATGAAATTCTCAACATTCGTCTGTATATATACATCTCAAAGGCATCTATTCTTTTTTCTATTTCAGAGTCCATTGTCCAACTTTCACAGCCATACAGTAAGACAGAAAAAAGTAGCATCTAATCCTTCGAATTCTAAGCTGCATACTAAGGTCTGATCTTGTAAAAAATGTTTTCATGCTCATGTTTTCCTTGCTTGTTCGATTCTTGATATTATTTCTTTTTTTGGATTTCACTGACTATTGATATTTGCTCCCAAATATTTTATGGAATTTACCTGTTCTATCATTTGACCCTTGGCATACACATGTACGTTTATTGGTGTATTTGAAAATACTATAGTTTTAGTTTTGGAAACGTTTAGATATAAACCGAACATTTCGCTGTGGTGAAATACCGCATTTATTATATTTTGTAGTTCGTGTGCGTTGCTTGCTATTAAGACAGTATCATCAGCATATCTGATGTTGTTTATGCTGATTCCGTTAATCTTAATTCCGCCTTGGACCTAGTCTAATGCTTCTCTGAAAATAGACTCCGAATACAAATTCGCTACAAACAGTAGCGGTGATAAGACGCAACTCTGTCTCACTCCTCGTCGGATTTGTATAACTTCGGATGTTGTGTGCTCTATTTTAATTGTTGCCGTTTGGTGCTAGTATAGTTCTGAGATAATTCGCAAGTCTTGTTCGTCAACTCTAGTTGTTCTCAGAATTTCGATCATCTTTTGATGGTTAACACAGTCAAATGCTGTTCGATAGTCAATAAAACATTCATATACATCTACATTCATGTCTCTGTATCGTTGCATTAACAGATTTAAAGCAAAAAGAGCCTCTTGTGTTCCCAATCCGTTTCGAAATCCGAATTGAGTGTCACTCATCTGGAACTCGCACTTCGTGTAAATTCGTGTACGGATAATTCTGGGAAAAGTTTTAAGGACATGAGACATCAAGCTTAATATTCGATAATCATCGCATTGTGAGGAATTCGATCTTTTTGGTAATGCTACGAATTTTGAGTTTAGCCCGTCTGTTGGTATTTTACTTGTGTCATATATCTTATTGAATAGTGCTGTTATTATGTCTAGGCTTTTACTTTCGTTATCTGCAATTAGTTTTAGTATTTCGACATTGATATTGTCTGGACCGGTGGATTTTTCCATCTTTCTGAGATTTTATTCCGTGAATCACTTCTTTGGTTATTTCTGGGCCTTTTTCATTTATTCGATTATCTGTGGATGGTGTAGAACAAGGTCTATCGTCGTCAAAAAGAGTTTGCATGTATTCTTTCCGTCTCTCTAGTTTGTCTTCTGTGCCCATAATTATTTCGTTCTTACTATTTTTTAATATTGTTGCTTGTTTCTTTTTCTGTCTACCTGTCATTTATTCTACTTTTTTATGAATATTAAAGGTGTCTTATTTTTCCTGAAGTTGTTCGATTTCTAGACATTTTGTTGGCATCCAGTTTTCTTTCGCCTCCCTGCATTTTTTTCTAATGATTTTATTGATTCGATGATTCTATTGGGCTTGTTTTATGTTTTCGTCTTACGTCAATGAGGTCCATGATCTCTTGCGATATCCATTCTTGTTTTTTGTTGTGTTTTATGAACCCGATGTCTTCTTGTATCCGTTAATTTAAATACAGGAGACGTTTACTTTATTAAAGTACAATATTATAAAGGACGCACAACTGTGCATGCGTATATTATGTAAAAATAAAGATGCTTCTATTAAAGTATGACATAAAATACGCCTTCAATAACTCTCTATTTATTTTGTTCATCACAGCTTTCTTTGTTACTTTGTATGGCGTCATCATTTAGTAATATTGCAATTTAAAATTACAGAAAAATCGATTTTTAGAAGGTCTTTCCGTACAATTTTTTGAAAATTATCTTTTACACAAACCTTCTCCTGATAACAAACACAACAAAAAAGATTTATCTTATGATGCAGTCGTTCTGAAGTGATGCCCGTACAAACATTTCAGAGATTCATATAAGGCAACAAGAGAGTCGATTTGCTGCTTGTAAGTTCGGAATGTGTCACAATAAATGCAAAGTATTGAACGTATAATATAGGATTATATATAAGAAATAATAAATATGCTGTAACAACTATAATGACCCGACTATGTGTTTCTGTGCTATCAGTGTACATAAATCTGTTAGTTCACGAGTGTCTCGTCTACATGCTGAATATTATGCTTTTGATGTTCTTGAAACTTCCAGTTTCCTCGAACGATAATTTTAGATAAGTTCCCGATTCTCGTGTGTATTCTGTTCTTAGAAGCATGTCAGATAATTGATGTTTAATGGAAATTTCAATGTATTGGGTTTTCAAACGGTTTGTCTATTAGAAATTATTAGAGATTATATATTCTGGAAACGACGTTTTAAATGTTTTAAATCAATAAAACTGAAGTAAGGTGTAATTTAGTTTTCTATTTGTATTAGAAAGTAACCGATAAATTATATCATATTTATTATCAGTAGCCATAATATTTTGAGCGATAACAATAGGTTATCTATATTTAATCTTCCTACATCGTGCTAGTTTTAAGTGACCCATCCCTACTACTAGTATATACCTTAACTATACTTTATCCACAAAAATTCTCGAGAGTGATCTATTTCCATTGGTAACCATTGTTTACTAAGTTTATTCTAATAAAATGTAGATATAAATCGCACTGTATTCGATTATACCAAATGTTCATCGATAATACTCGAATAAGTGCTAAATTAATCCCTTCCCAAAAGTTATGATCATAACTGTTGAAAACGAATTTTTAAATATTGTTTATTAGAACAAAATATAGATATAAATCTCATTTTATTTGATCAGGGTTAATTTTTATCGATAAGACTCGAATAAGGGCTAAATTAATCTCCTCGAATATTCATTCAAGTAATGCCCAAAGGGAAAATTAAACGCTTTTAATTATTGTTCTAGCAGAAGTAAAACAATCGCACCCCGTATCTCGGAGTGGGTCTGACAGGCGACCGGATGCGGTACGTGAAGAGGGCATAAAACAACAAGAGTCCTCGAAAACTGAGTCCTCCCACGATGTGCCCAACGATAGAATGGAGGCCGCCAACATGGTCAGGTGAGTGCAAGAAAATTACTATTTAGATCATTACAGATAGAGGGTCGAATTCTTTTGTTTATGGCGATGTTGTCACGTTTATTACCGAACTGGTTTCTATAGACGATCAGTCAGCTGCATTTGAAAGAGAGAACTGAAAAATTACTTTAAATTGACTTTGGTCTAACTGTTGTTTAGAAGTTGATTGTATCTTATATATTGTTTTCTTCTTACTACTTTATGTTTCTTGCTATCATACCAAATCTATGTCTGAAGCTTAAAATGGACAACATAGTACCTGCCAGTTGTAGATATTCCATCAAAAGGTTTGGAACTTGTGACATTTTGATTTTTGTCAATAGGACACTCTGATCAAAAGATATCGAATTTTTACAGTCGAGTTGATAAAAATTTGCAAGCGTCGCTTCAAGTGTTGTTTCTGACAGAACGGTTCATTCTACACAAAAAGTGAGTATAAACATTTTTGTTCAGAATTATCTCAGCTACATTTTTTATTCGAAACATTTTTTTCTCGACGTATAGATTTTTGGTAAATCGACTTTTTTGCATCTTGTTGGGGTTCCCAAATTGACATTCTCAACGAAATTCAGCTTGTTCGTATGATTTTTAGAGATCAAATCTCTGACGGCTGGACTAGGAAAGAACGTTCAAAATCAATAGGTAGGTTAGGGAAAATGTATATGAGTGTCATTCCGCTCAAAGAGTAGGAAAGCAAAGCCCAGCATACATGAAAAGAATGTTCAAAATCAATAGGCATGTTAAGAAAAATGCAGCTGAGTTCACCAAATATAGCTGAAAGTTTGAAATTCCCATTGTCTGCGCTAACAATGAAGTGAGAACGCACATACAAACGGTCTGGACCGTCAGTGCGAGTGCGAGGTTCGTCGTTTGACGAATGCGCATCATGATCGTCACGCGTTTTCACACTTACGGCTATATTTGGCGAACTATATCAGTCCCCGTTAAGAGTAGGAGAGCAAGGCCAGCATACATAATGGGAGACATACGAGGAATATATGTGAAAAGGATTACAGTAATATCGTTGGATGTGGTATGTGAATCTTTTGGGAGCATACATTAGGGAAAGTCTGGTAAGACTTTCTGATTTAGATTTGTATTGACTTCAAAAAATCAATTCAGGTGCCCAGCTTATGCTAATTTGTACTTTCTCTGTAGTAACGATAGTTGTCAGTTTTTTAAAAGTCAATGCTTCGCAGTACCTACTACGAGCACAAGCTATGGATGGCTATTTCAGATTCGTTGTTAAATTACGTACTATGTATATGTCATCTTAATAATTTACAATTAGTTGAAGATAGCCCTTCTTCCATCAAGCGCAAGAGCTCCTCATCGGTTAAATGTCTTCTTGAACTCATTGTTCTAGTCCTATTCTAAAATAATTAATTTTTTTACAAAATTCAACAAAAAAGAGGTTATATTTACCTAAAAATTAATTTTTCCGTTGACTCACAATGACCACAAACGAGTACACGCTTTTCAGAAAATCCGTGGTTGCTAATTTTAAGCAAAACCGCTATTAACAATAGTTTTTCTTTAACAAATTCTACTATTTATTAACACCATGCGACACATTCAATAGCAATTGTTCACATTTAAAATAAAAGAAACTCAAATGAATTGACGCTGTATACACTAGTCATAACTAACTATAGAAACCTACCAGATTAAATATTTTGTTCAAAAGCCGTTAGATGGAAGCACAAGTACTCATTGTAATCGGAGACAATGTGTTACAAGAGCAAAAACACATGGAGCTACATCCAAAAAATTATAGAAAAAGTTGTCCTTAATTAAGGACACGGTGAACGAAAGGTTTGGTATGGCCAGTATCACTTTGCTATAGTTGATCCTGTTATCTGGATCTGCAGATGAGGTTTCCATTGTGCACTCCCAAAATAATAAGTTATCAAATCGTCACCTTTTTTGAGGCAACTACGACAAAATACATTTTATCTTTCCATCAGACTTGCTATTTAAAAGGTATTATTTTTAGTAATATTATGAAACCTTTGTTCTATCAGGTACTTTAAGTGCTTTTTTATTTTTAAATTTAACCCATCAATTTATGTTTATTTAGAACTGATAACAACATGTTGAGTGAAACAACTTTGGCAGCAACAGCTAGTAATTGATAATCTATACTTAGATTAGATTAGTATTGATTAAGACTGGCACATTATTTTAAAAATTATATTAAACAGTTGTGCGGTCGGATTATTACGTCTATGGAATAATACTGTTTTGTTTCTGAGTTTAGTGGATTTTTGATTTAATAAGTGAATACAGTGAGTCAGTAAATTTCTATTAACGATCACCATGCTATAGTGAGTCAAAAACGTCTAATAAATAGCTTTTGACAACTTTCGCTTTATGGGAGCCTGGATTGCATTCTTATATTACACAAACCGTTTCTAACAGAATTTGAGCAAATTTTGAGAAATGTGTAAAGCTGTGCTGCTAACTAGTAGCTTGATGTTTTGAAATTTAGTTTATATAATTGTTATTCCTATGTGGTACAAAATATAGATATTCATTATCTAATTTTTTTTCATGATTACAATACAATTGGATATTTCTATAATGGTTTTTTCTATACGTGGACTTTATTCTAGATTTTAGAACTCATGGACTCTATCCCTGTGGAAGTAGATATTTGGAAAATGCGATCAATTCAGTGAATACTTGCTACCTAGAAGTATTCTATTGTAATTTCTAGACGATGTTTTTTGTAATATAATTGTTACTGTATAATGGATAACGTCCAATCGTGTGATTTGATGTCTCCCATTATTGTCAATAATCTGGTCTCTAAACAACTAGACTCTTCGAAGTTCGTTTTCTCATACACACTGTTGTGCAACCAACAAATTTCTTACAAAACTTTCGAAAGACGAGGAAATAGCTGTTGGATTTGCGTTGTGTATTGTTTGGCATATGTGGAAAACAGTTTGAAGAGTGTGACTTGGCTTCAAGAATTGGCGTTAAAATAAGACTTAAGATGAGGTACCACAAGGGAAGGCCAGCATATCATTTTTAAATAGTTTTTGAAGCTTTATTTGTACCAAACGAGCCTAATCGTCGTAGACTCTTTGTCATAAATTGTTGTATAGTGCGATGGCATCTGCAGGCGGTTTTGTGTCGGTCAGTAACTACTTACAAAATTTGTTATGGTATTTTACGGTATTGAGTTCTTTTTCAACCCATATTCATCCATCTCCTGTACAGTATTATGCTTGTGTTATGTTGTGTAACCTAATGGTATATGGAAATAAAATCCCTTACGATATTTAGACCATCTAAAGCGATTATTATTGCGCAGTCTGTGGAGTATTAGAAAACTGACTTTCGTCTAGCCTTCGTTTATGTGCCTAAGACGACTGATGTAGACCTACATTAAGGTCGTAAGCCCACTCCGCCCTCCGTAAGCAATCTAATCTCGTAAAAATACTTGTGGCTTCGCAAAAAGCGTGACAAATCAAACTGATCCTTACAGGTAAATGTCGATCGAAATCCTTACCACCCTTGATAGATTGGTGGGAGTGGAATTTTCGAATATTTCGTCGTGATATAATACACCATTGAAAATATACAAAGATACCTAGTGAGTCCAGTACGTCTTCCAGCCTAGTTCCATTTTTAAGCCAGTAACTTATCTTTTTTTGACTCTTTTTCCGATTTTCGGGGGAAGTCTGATCGTTAACTTCTTCCTGCCTACTGTAGTCCTCCGGAAACTTACGTTTTGGTTAAATTCTCTTTATTTAAGCTGACACTGACTTTGAACCTGTAATTCGTTCAAATCATATTGGAATTCTTGTAAGTAATTGTTCATTCTGCATAATTTACGCTTATTCTCTTTTTAACTCTATTCTCTCTATTTAACTTTTTTATTTCATTTTTACTAATCGCTAATTGCTTCTTCTGCTCACTTGTGGGAAATTGATTCCTTATAGACCTATCTCTATTAGTATTTCTAGTAGGACTATGTGACGGGCTTCTGGATGTCGATCTAGGCAACCTTCTAACCTCATTTTTTAATTCTTCTTTTCTTGCTTGGGATCGGCTTCTGCAACTGTTTTGTAAATGTGCCATCCTTTCGAAAATATTTCTGTTTTTATTTCGGGTTCTTTGTGAAAGATTTTGCATTATCCTTAAGATTTGGGATAAAATAGGTTGTTGAATATCTGCGGTTGTGACTTCTTTAATTTCTTGAAATCTTATTTCTTTTATTTCGGACGAGATCTGGAAATGCTTTTCGCCGGTTCATGCTCCTGGACTGAGATTAGTGCTTCATTTAGCGTTTGCTGATGCTGTAATCGAAGAACTTGTTACATTTCAACATCCTGTAGTCCATGTATGAATATACCAATTTGTTCCAGAAAATCTTTAGGTGCCTGAGGGTACGCCAAATGCAATAATCTTTTAATGGCTTCATATTCTTGCAGGTCTTCGTTATGCTTTTAGAATTATCAGATGCTGCTGGCCATATGTTACTAAAGTTTGAATGACAGCGGTATATTTGAGTGAATCTTGTGGAAGAATTTGCAAGACGGTTGCTGTCTATCCTCTAACCGCCACTAACAATTAAGCTGCCATTTATTTCTCAGTCCAGCCATTTGCTCTAGCAGCAGCATCGAATGGAAAAGACAAGTTTCCCATGCTGTTCGACCATCGAATGTGGGTGGTTTTAAAACTTTGCTAGTTATAACTGTGCCTGGTTTAATTATGGAAGATGATGAGGCTGTTTGTTCCGATTCGGCATTAGTTACTGAAACAATATTAGATAAGGAAGTTTGGGTATTAATTGTTCTTTCTAACTCAACCAATTGTTTTTCTAAATTAAATTTTAAATCGTTTTGTTGTTTTGTAATATTTAATTTTTTAAATCGTATTGCTGTTGTATTATTTTATTTTATAAATCGGTTTTTATATCATTCTGTTGTTCTTCGATTTTATCCTAGCAGTAATTTGACTTAAATCTA